AGAACCTCGGCCTACGGACGAAGCAACTCTGGTTAAACTAGAACGAGAATTAGCGATCGCTCTTCACGCCACAGCCAAAGGTCACACCATAGACTACAACCCGAAAAAATCCAACTCGGATTTTGAACATGCACTGAATACAGTATGCATCGAAATTGTCCTGAACATAAATCGTTCAGTATTGCAGTATGTTTTTCCCTTTGTAACTGATCTCAGGAAAGGCTTGTTTCTTTAAGACAAAGGGTTGTTTCGTTTACAGCGACGCGTCCGATTAGGCGTAGTGCACTAGGGGGTTAATGTCAGGTACACATATTGCAGTCTTCCAAGGATCACGGAGTGGAGTGGACCAAGCAACAACAATAATAGCAAGAACAATAACGCGGGGTGGGGTGGGATACAGAGTATAGGGAAAGAGTCGTAACCGTCAGAATGGAAGATTACGAACCAATGGAATAACAATTTTTTGTTTCACCGTACACTTTTTGAAGTTCTTTTGTGTTGTTTATTCTTTTCACGGGACACGGGATTTCAACAGACAGACAGCACCACTGATTTCTATTCTGGGCCATATCTCTCAGCGTCTCTAGCCAACGACAATCCTCATCCCTTGGACACCAACCTGGAAGGCGGGCTGCACCTACNTACAGCGATTATTTTTGTTAGAGGACGACTATTCACACCCAACACACGAGGACAGACCTCGTCAGTACTCACCCGGTGTTCCCACCAGACACGAGCAATGCTTCGGAGACATCGGTGTTCGAATATAGAAAGTCTATTAGCATCCTCAACGCGGAGGGATCAGGTCTCGGAACCGTAAAGGAAAACGCTTCTTCCTTAGTTAAAGACACTTCACATAATTTGCACAGCGAAACGTATGAAGCCATATCCACATCCACCACATAAGTTAGTTTCAAAATTTACATCACCGTGTCTCTGGTTACTGCAAATCTATATTTCCTGTCTCGTAGCATCCCCTTGTCGACCCTAAAACAAGTTAGGCATGAACTTCGTGCATATTAACCTGCCCAACTAATTTCACCCTCCACATTTTTGTGTTTATCGTTGCACTTAAAACTTTACTCACAATATCCGTCGTATTATCGATACAGAAGGCTGAAAGTTCGCCCAAGGTGGTAGATAAAGCATATAAAGACTTGATTTGCTGGTCAACTCGTTTGCCTCACAGAGGTAAGTGTGAATAGCTACCTGTGGTGTACTGTGTGCGGGGGGATGGCGCGAATGATGGAGAAATAAGACTAATTTTGATGAACGAATAGTTAATGATTTTGAGGAACTGAAATTACAATTGATCGAACGCTGTCTCGTGCAAATCTAGCAAATAATCAATCAAAACGCACTCAATGTGGGAGACGGAACTCATGCGTATACGCAGAACAGAGAGGTGGCAGATAGAAAACAAGACGAATTAAGGAGCTGCAATGAAAGCCGGCAAGCTGATCGCAACTTTACAGGAATAAACTTGAAATGCCGAGTTAGACATGACGTTATATGATTAACAATACTCACTGTGATTTGATCAAAGCTAAGTTTGGTACAATGTTCATCGTTGAAGGACACTGGGATCTACAGCCAAAAACCAGTGGAACAAAATTCGGAGAATAGAAGTTGCTTTTGTTGATTTATTCATTTGCACCTTCAAAGAGCCCGGAGTACGTTCGCATTACAAGTTCGCTACGGCGAGCGATGTTTTCCGAGGTAGGCAGCGGTAATCGACCTCCATAGATTGCGCTGGTTGGGACATGTGCTACGCATTTCACCAGATAGGTCGCCACAGTGAGCGATGCTGGCCGAGGCAGGTAGCGGTTGGAAAAAAATGAAGGGCGCTCAAGCTAAGACCCGGTATGAGGGTATGAAAACCCTAACCAGGAGACTAGGTGATATAGGCCCCGTTAGGCTCCCTGGCTGGGGACCTCGGGATGATTGTAACCGATGGTTAGAGACACTGAATGATATGGCTGGGTGTCGCAAACAGTGGCGCTCGTGCATCCACTCATTATTCCCCTATCACTATTCTATATG